TCCCATAGAATAGGGCAGTTTCCACTGTATATGCTTCAAGAGAACCACATTCCTTCATTTCAGAGCACTTATTTCAGTTTTCTTGTGATGTTTCTTCATTTGATTTTCTGTTTTAATGTCCGTCTCCCTCTAGGAGCTCACTGGTTCCATGCAGAAGGCAGAGATAGACCTGTGTTTGCTCAGAGCTGAGAATCCACTGGCAATGAAATACTCTGCAGACAGTAGGTGCTCAATAAATATTGTGGCATGGTTGTATCAATCACCATCCTGACTTCTAGCCAAGGGTTCTCATAATGACATCAAGCTGTCTACCATAAAGAGTATCTGCACATTTTACCACAGGATGGTATTTTTGTGTTGTGTGTCAGATTCATCAAAAACCACCACAGGTTTTCTCTTTCCTAAGACCAGAACAAATAAGCAGATTTGGGCTAAGTGTCCCGTGAGCCACTTTTTTCTCTCTCACAATTTCCAAAGAAAGTCAACACTGAGGTACATGGAGATGTGAACCCTCAATGTTTATGTGTTTATGAACAGACTCTGCCCTGCTTTGGACCACAGAGAACTGAAGGTAGGAATGGAGTCTGTTTGGCTGGTATTTGCTTTTCAGAAATCCAGACAAAAGCTTTCTGCTCCAGTTTGTACTATAAGCCCAAACACAAAAGTCTGAAGACAGTTGGAAGACAACGTGTTGCTTTATGACAGTGGTGAGGAAGACAGTCTCCACTGAGGTAATACTGCAGCTTTTTGAAAGACAGTTGTTTAAACAAGTTAACTTTTTCTTCACACTCACTACCTCAAAGAAACACTTTCAATATCAATACATAGAAAACACTTTTTAACTACCCAGATGGGTCTATAAAATACCCATATGAAAGAGAGAACATGAAAGCTCCTTTATTGAAAAATACCATTGAGCTTATATGACTATTATAAATTCTTCCATTATGTAGGTAAATTATTCATTTTTTTTTTCATGTAAAGTATTTACTGAGCAGTTCCTATATACAGGCACGGTTCTAGGTTGTGGGAATACAGAGTAAAGACCAAAGGACTCAAAAATCCTTTTCTTTGTGGAACTTGCACCCTAGAAGAGGCAAATAATAAACATAATAAGGTATAGAGTATGTTAGATAATGATTGTCAGGAAGAAAAAAAAATCAAGCATAGACAAAGGGTATGAAATATTAAAGGAGGAACAATTACATTTTAGAAGAACTGATAGGGAAAGTCTCTCTAAGAATATGACTTTCAGGCCAGGCATGGTGGTTCACACCTGTAATCTTAGCATTTTGGGAACCCAAGGCTGGAGGACTGCTTGAACCCAGGAGTTCAAGATCAGTCTGGGAAACACAGGAGATCCCATCTCTACAAAAGATTTAAACAAAAATATCCAAGCATGGTGGTACACGACTGTAGTCCCAGCTATTAAAGAGGGACTATTCACTTGTGCCTGGGAGGTCAAGGCTGCAGTGAGCTGTGATCGCATCACTGGACTCCAGCCTGAGTGACAGAGCAAGACCCTCTCTTAAATAGAAACCAATATATATGACCACTGACTTCATTCCATTTCAACAGAAAATATAAAGGCTTATGTTGCTTTTGACCAAGGGAAGCATCTTACTCTCAGTCATCTTACTCTCTCCCCCAAGACTTTGCATAAACTCCTGTATCTTGCTGGGGCACTGCACTTCCCACCCCACACCCCCGGGTCGATGACTCTTCAAGACAAACAGAAACATCACCTCCACACTATACAACATGTCCCTGTGCAGGGACCCCCAGAGTCTTGTTATTCACCTAGTGAGGTCATTGTTAATTTGTCTGCCACTCCAACTACAAACACATACACACACACATCCAATTAAGAATGCAATTACAACTACAATTACTATATAGCAGGCACTATGCTTCTATTATTTTCTTTACTCTTAAAAGTTCTTATTTATCTTATTTGCATAATCCTTGAAAAACTTCAGTAATCTTCTCAGGGTTAACACCCAGAAAGTGGCCAAGCCCATATTCAAACCTCGAGAGAGTACATCTCTGATGCTAAGGAGCTTTCTCAGCATCCAGCTGCCTACCGATATACTAAAAACAGATGATAGATGTGGTAAGGTTATATGTGAGGCTCTGAAGAACCTATCACTCAAAAACTAGCTCTGCCCTTGAGCTCGAACTCAACCTGCTAGGTCAGAGGCCTCACCATGGTGACTCGCAGGAGTGCCTTTCAAAGAGCAGGTGTGCTCATAAGTAAGTAATGCTTCTCAGCCGGTTCCTGGAGAGAAGCTGGGAGGTGAAGTGGTTTAAAGAGTCGGATGTGGAAGAGTGTGCACAGAGATAAAACACTGTAAAGCACCGGTGGGCATCCCAATACAGATCATCTTCGCACTCAGCTTGACTCATAATCTGAAGCCGTCACCTGAAATGTATTTTTGGCTACGCTACAAGCCAAGATCCTCCAAGGCTACGCTGTCATAATTCAGGAGCATTTTTCTTTAAAGGGAAATAGGTATGATGGGAAATGTTCGCAGAGAAGTTTTCCAGAAAATAAACTCTATTTTAGCAATTATTTGGGAATTGGTCATGGTAGGAAGCCGTGAAAAGCCTAGATAAAAACTGTCACTAAGACTCAAAGGCATTTTGGCTATTTCAAAATCCTAGGGTTCACTGGCAACATTTCTGTCATTCAGAGAAGCATGAACGTCTCATGTGTCAATAAGTCACAAGAAGATGCTGAATGTCCGGCTGTTTACCTCTATCTCTATTACTTCATGTAAGGAATGGAGGTGAAATCAGTTACCAGATTCTGAGTCCAAAGCAACCCCACGTTAATTACTTTTTCTACCCAGATAAAAATGAAATGTTCTCCTGGGCATAGCATGTTTTGTTATTTACATTATGCAAGACACAGTCACAGTGATATACCTTCATAAAGAGGTAACTGAGAAAAGCAAGGAAAAAGCGTCCATTATGTAAATATGCATGTATTCCCAGAATTTCATATGGTATGAGAATGTCTTGCCTTAGGGCTGATTAAAGAAGTTCTGAATATCCAGAAGTAGGCATTTAAAGACTTTACATTCCATACTAGATAACTCCTAAGTGTAAATTACAGTTTAAACTCTAGTTAGCTGGTTCCTAATACGTAATAAGGTACAGTGGGTGAAATAATGGCCACTGGAATTTCCAATAGGATTCGAACTTAGGTAGATCATTTACCATTCTGTGATATTGGTTTGGTTTATTAATCCATCTAAAACCCACTTTTGTACCTACAAAAAAGGTAAGATAATGCTGGTAAAGAAGCCCATATCCAAAACCCATGGGGCCAGAAGTATTTTGGAATTCAAAACTGTTCACACTTCAGAAACACTAAGGTATATAAACTATATGGTAAGTAACACCCTCAGCAGGGTCTGGGGCAGCACCCTGTAATCAATCACGTTAACGTTTTTGCAGCAAAATATATGAAGTCACAATTATGCATTACGACTATAATAGTCTTAAGTCGGTTCTGCTCCCTGAGTTTGTATCAAGGATACAAAAAAAAATCTTTCAGATTTTATATTTTGAACTTATGACAAAGGGACTGCAGACTTGTTTTATACACATATATTTGTATCCCTGCATGCAAATGAACATACATATGCGTATACTGAAGGGGGGGGGCTATTGTTAGAATCAAAAAGGTTGGTGCCCACAAAGTGCTTTTATAATAGCATTCAACAGATAATAAACACTCAATATTGGCCAAAATATAAGTTCCTTAAAGGCAGAGATCACTGTTTTGTTCATTGATATGCCTCCCATGCCTAATAGAGCATCTGGCACATAGGAAAGTCTCAATAAATATCCATGTAATGGTTCATGGTATCTCCTCATGCAGGCTTTCTTTATCCAAGTAGAACCATATGAAATGAGAAACATAATCCTTGGAGAGGCTCAATTCGTTTTGCAAGACAATAGGGTAAAAGCATTAATGCAATCAGAAGTTCCCGGTGAAACACAAAGAGTTAACTCAAGTCCTGAAGATCAATATTTAATTCCCCTCCTATTTTTCTTTTAAATCATTGCATTTGGGAAGTGAATAACATTGGCCTGATTCACTTCTAAACTGACTTATCAAGCAAATCAGTCATTGGCAGGCTCCTAATTGGAATTATACCTACATGAAGATGTGCATCAAAATTAAAAGGAGCTTATGAACAGTGCTGAGGAATAAACACGTGTAGTCTCCAATAACCCACAGTGTGATTTTGGAAAGCGGACAGCCTATGTCTACCAAAGAATATTTGTCTGACCTGCCAACAGGAGCAAAACAAATATAAGTCCAGTCTAACACACACGCATGCGCACGCACACACACACACTCCACTAAACTAAAATTTTGATTTTGTACATTTGATTTCATCTGACAATGAATGAACTAGTTTCCTACTGCAAAGTTTTTCAAATAGTACAATGCACAGTTAAGCATCTACTTTAAGAACTTCCTTTTCTCCGTCCGAGGTTAATTATTGAAAAAACAGACGATAAAACAAAAAAGATAAATATCTACCTGCAATTATAGATATCTGCATGTCCTTAAAATAAAATAAAACAAAATAAACTCTCAGCAACTGAAGTGGTAGGAATTCAAACTGAGAAAAGATGCGTATCTCTTCCAAGTACTATAAACTAGAGAAAATGTTTGGCATGAAGTCTCTCTCGTGTGAATGAGAAAGAAGACGTTATTTGTTTACGCATTTATATAAGCAGTGTTATATTTTATTGATAGCCGAGTAGAAGAGGTGATAGGAGAAGCTTTCCCTACAAGACCATTTAAAACTGTTACCTTGGGATTAATCCTATTCCTAACAGAATGACATGTAAACTCACTAACCATCTGTCCTGAACAGTTTACAGCTAAGTGTGGCCACAACTAAAAAGACTCTGGTATTAAACATCTTAAGACCACTAACAGACCCTGAAATTGAGATTTTAAAAACAAAGCTTACCCGGCCAACAAGAATCGGTTCAGGTCCAGAAAACTCTTCCAGGACAAACATTTGATTCCAAACCCAGCCTCTTTTGGAGCGGTTCAAAATTCGCTGTTCTTCACCCAGACTGTTTATTTCCAAAGGGGATCCACTCATTAAAACTTGAGACTGATTCATTGGAGCCATGTAAATGCAAGGGGGAAGAGTAATCCATAATATTATTAATGGAGTCCAGAGATCCAAGAGCATTTCCGCTAGCCGTTCTGGCATGGTCCCACCAGTTAAGCAAATCACCACGAAAATGAGACAATTATTTTTTTTGTCTCCGGTCTGCAGCCATCCAATTCATCATGCAGTGCCGAGCATTTACTTACAGCTCTGCCACGTGTCTATAGCATGGGAAACAGACATCATCTAAGCAGCTTTTCTAAGACCACAATCCATTGGCTTTTCTTTTCATTGAAATTTCCTGCAAAAACAAGGAGGAAGAAAGATAAGGGTCTACTCAAACAGGTTTTAAAATAAAATCACTTCTTTTCAAAAGCACCTAAAATGAACAATAGTGGGCACTTCTCAAACTCTTGAGTTAGAAAGTGGATCTGAATAATTAGAATAAGTAGGCTAGTAAGTCCTTTAATTTTTAAGCTTTATTTAGATTGTAATTTTCATTTGTAGCTATGTGACCTATCAGAAACGGTTCACGTAATAGAAGTTCTCCCTTTCCTTCTTGCTTCTTTCTTTCCCATCTCCCTCTCTTCCTTGTTTTCTTCTTCTTGACTTTCCTCCTCTCTCCATCCCTTCCTCTCTCTTCTATTCTTTTTCGTTTTAACAATTGGGAGTGTATGCTAACACAGCCCACTTGTCGAACAGATTGTAAGTCTTTTACTTTTATTTTCTTCTTTTTTTCCTTTTTTTACCTGTTTAAGGACACATTTTAGTTCCTTTTATGCTAAACTCCATGAAATAACTAGCTTTGAATTAACAACATTAAAAAAATACAAAAGAGAATGGGAAGGGGAATTTAAACCAATTTTGACAATCTTAGCTTCCAGGATTCATCAGAAGGGATTGCCCAGTTCAGGGTACAGAGTGCAATCCTCTGCCAGGATGCTAACAATGAGTGAATACAATTAGAATGCTTCCAGAGAAAAATTCTGTAATGTCCAGCTTGTATGCTATCATCAGGACAGTGTCAGGGTCCACATTCTAAATGTACAGTTAAACAGGAGATTTAAATTATGGAAAGCTCCCTTGGGAATAAAATATGGTAAAAAAATGTAGTGTTCAATTGAAGAGATTCAGCAAGGCAAGGGCACAAAAAAAATCCCCATTACCTGAGGTGTCAGATACATTTTTTGCTTACCCTCAGTGTGGCAAAATGTGTTTCTTCCCTCTCAAAAAAAACAAATATTTTTAAAGAAATACTGTTCACTGCAGATCCAAGAGAGAAGCGTTGCTGAATTAAACTCAATGGGAAAATATTTTCTCAGGACACCATCGGGAACAGTGCGGCTCAGGGAATTCATAAAAGGGAAGGAAACCTTTCACCTCTAGGTCTCTGGTTCCATTCTGGCTCAGAATAAGAAAGCTAGAAAGTCATTAACATTCACTGGGCTGCTGAGTGGCCTCACTGAAGCCAGCTGAAAGGGGCAGACCCAGATTGTACTGCAAATACAAGCAGTATCCGATCTAACAAGATGGCCAGTGGAATCACCCTGCTTGTCATTCTTTGCCTGGGCTCAGCTCAATCACTGGGACTGTATCACTCAAAAGGGCTCAACCCTGATGAGTATCGAGGAGCCACAACAAGCAGCAGTTGCTTTGGAAATGGAAGAAGAAAAAAAAAACAGCTTTCTATGGGGAACCAATACAGAGAAAACAGAGTCCAGAACAAAGTCATCTCCTTCCCCTGGAATTGCAGAAAATCTTCCCCCTAAAACAGATTCCCCTGAAGTCTTTCTCTCATGCCAGTGTGTGAGCAGAACGTGGCAGGCTTCAAAACTTAAACTAAACAAAATTCAAAAAGTCCCCATAAAGAAACCCCCAAATCTTTGTATCTTTCTGAGTGCTCAAGCCACTTACTACTTTAACAGCATTTACAGCACACCCATGCTGTGCTCCCTCTAGACCTGAGGGAGAAGTTGGTGCTAAAGGAGTCTTGTGCGTGCTGAGGTCTGTCTATTCTTGAAACAGATACACCGGGCTTTGGATCCCAGCTCACCCTGCTTGCTGTCTCTGTAATGATGGACAAGATATTCAAGTTTTCTGAGCTTCAGTCTTTTCTTCTGCAAAGTGGAACCAATAATAATTCCTACCTAATGGGACAGTAGTGTGGTTCAGAAATAAGACACATGTAAACCAGTCAGATCATGGGAAATACTCGGTAAACTGGAATCCATGTGGTTATCCTGGGTTAGATGTGTGGTGATGACAGGATTCCTGCCCTAGAGAGGCTTTGAGAACAAAGACAAATGAATGAGCAGAGTGAAGCGTTGTAACCTCTGCAGTAAAAGTTGGTAAGGTATGAGGGTGTCACAAAGGTGCTCAAAGATCTTCCCTGTGGTGGAGGATGAGGATGGTGCCACAGGGGAAAGGCCTGTGCCATTTTACACACATGGTGAGATCCACTTTAGACATAGAGCCTCAGCCTAAAGACTTTTCAGAGAAAAGGAACTTGTTCTTTCCAGTTCTCCCCTACTCCATGATAGACCATAACTGAACATGCAAAAATCATGTATGCTGTTCTCCAAAGGCATAAGTTTTGTTTGTTTGTTTGCTTACTCAAGCTCACACTTACAGGCTCAAGTGATCCTCCTGCCTCAGCCTCCAGAGAACCTGGGCATGCACCACTATGCCTGGCTACTTTGATTATTACTATTATTTGTATAAATGGGGGGTTGATCTCGAACTCCTCGCCTCAAGCAATCTTCTCACTCCAGCCTCCCAAACAGCTGGGATTACAGGCATGAGCCACGGTGCCAGGTTGGCCTGGGTTCTATAGCAGCAGAACAATGAGATGGTTGTGGGAGTGACCTAGTGTCAGCCTGCTTGGGGTCTGAATTCTAATTCTTACACTGACCAGTTGTGTAACAGCGGACGGAGGGATAATTAATAACAATAGCAACAACAAAATAATAATAATACTGACCTGACAGGTTAGTTTTGAGGACTAAAGGAGATACTCTCGGCACGTCAGATAGGATAGACTAGCATGCACAGTTCTTTAAAATTTTGCCAAACACTCTGCAAGTAAGTATACTCTGGCATTTGCTTTGTTGCTAATGATTGTGAGATAAGAAAATTTCATCTCAATTTAAATTCATAACAGACACTTTCATGGAAACCACCAAGTGGCAACGAGGATGGACTGTGGTATGTTGGATGGACTGTAGCATAGATTACAGTGAGTTCCCTCTACCTGAACTCATCAGAATAAGTTAAAAAACAATAATAGACCCTCGGCCAATGTTATACAATGGCATAGCTTGACTAGTCAGAATGAGTAGGTTAAATAAAAAGGGGATACGTGTGTAGTCACAAATAGTATCCACTAACACGGTATCTTACTGTTAGCTAAAGCATATAATGCCTTGCCTTGTATTCAAAACCGAGGCAGAGAATAATGAAATGATGTACTCAAGGAGCACCTCTAAGAAAAGAGAGAATCATTATTTGAACCTAGGTAACGTAATTTCAAAATTCTTTCTGAACAAGACCCTTCCTCTCATTGCAGAAATATTTCATGAGCATAGACTGTATGTCAGGTACTGGGGGAAGGAAAGGCAAATGGGTCAGAACTCCTTTCTTCAGGAAGCAAAGAATCTGTTTGGCAAAGATAAAGAATTACATAATCAATTCACTGAAACGTAATCTTGGAAGGTTTAAAAGAAACATAGAGTGATGGGTAAGCCACGTATTTGGCTTCCTAGCCACGAAGGTTTCCTAGAGGGGATGTCATTTAAATGTTGAAACAGAATTAACCACCTGAGAAGGGGGTATAAGTGAAAGAACATTTTAGTCAACCAAGGGATACGAACAAGACCACCAACTAATCTAGGATCTCTGAATGAATCAGCATCTAAGGTAATTTTCAAATTATTATTTGCAGAATCACCCAGTCCATGGTCACCCCATCTTTTTTCTTACCCATCTAATTCATAATAATGATGGTCTCTACAGAGTACATGTTAAATATGTAGCCATTTCCTCTGGCAGTTCTTTGTGAAGAGAAGAGCATGTTTGGTGTCTCCAAAGGTCAAGTCATATACCACAGAGAGGATGTGAGGGGCAACTAAGTGCTATTCCCGTGCAACTTCTCAATTTTCGGGGGTTTCTGGGGGTGAGATGGCCAATACCCTGAGGTCAATGGTATAGCCCTGGGGAGAAATTAGCCCAGCTCAGGGGAAGCCCTTCATCTACATAGGTCGTTCCCGTCACATCACCTGTAGGGAGCTTCTAGAGACTGAAACACTTACATGCCACCTCTTAGATTTTGCCAAATTCTTAAATCATCTGTATTATTACTTTAAATTTTACTGAAATAGGCTCAGTTTTCAAAATATTTATTTTTAAATGGAAAGCTTATATTTGCCGTAAGAGAATATAACTTTAAAATTACGATGTTAATAGCAAACACTTAGAATAATATTAAATCATAAAGAATACTCAGATAATATTAAATCATAAGGAACTACACATACATAGATATATACATATAAATTCATGTCTGTTCTTCAAAATAACGCTCTAATATAACATCATTATTACTTATCTCATCATTCTCATTGTAGAGATAACCAAATTGAGGTACAGGGAGATTAGTATTTTAAGTAATGTTTTATTTTTACTAAACTAGACACTGTTAAAAGCCTGAGGTCATCTCACTATTTGCTAAAAAGAAAGACCAGCCATAGTTAGAGACAGACTGGTTAATATTTAATAAGTGGCTCTTTGAAAGAAAAAATTCTGATTTGTAATGTTTTCTGATTTTCATGGCATAAATACTTCCACCATGACCAATTTTAAGCTTCCAGTTGACCATTAACCAGCTCTGAAAATTACTGAAAATTTAACCATCAGCTCTGTTAAAACCCAGTAAAGAGCCAATGCTAGCACACCTGTAGTGAGGTGCTTCTCAAACATTAATATGCATCCAAATTACCTGGAAATCTTGTTTAAACACAGATTATGAATCACTTAGGTTAGTGTGGGATTTGAGATTCTGCATTTCTTGTAACCTTCCTGCAGTGCTGATGCTACTTACTGATTTGAAAGCCACACTTTGCGAAGTAGTTCTAAAGAAGACTGGCTCCCAGCTCAGACCTCCTGGAGATAACCTAAAGGACTCAGTGGTGTGGTGGAAGAGTCATTTCCTCCCTCATGTCATTGAATGTCATGCCATCAACTACTTCACCACCACTGTGAATAAAGGACTGAACACATAGATTTGGGAAAACCTTGCACTAGGGT